CAACATATGATGCAAGAGACAATCAAGTGAGCCTCAGAAACATACTAGGCGCTGCCTGTGCCCGGTAAACGCTTGGCGGAGCTCTTGGTATCCGCTCCTGTAGTGCTCCAGCGAGAAACAAAGCTGCCGGATCACCTCTCTTTTCTCCTCAGCCCCATCCGAGATCACAACACTCTGCCTTTTCACCTCTTGCTGCAACTCCTCCACTCTTGTTTTCAGCTCATCTACTAGCCTACGCGCACTTTCGGATCCAACAATCAGACCCTCGTGTTCTGTTTGTAACCGACTAAGATGACCCGCCATTTCCTGAATCTGATTGTCGCGGGAACTCACATTCGCCATGAGCGTTTGAGCCCTACCATTGAGCTCATCTTTCTCCGCCATCAGCATGTCATATTTCAGTTTAAAGCTGTCCAAGTCTTTATTTACAGCTTCCACATGTCCATTTCTATCAGCAACTTCAACATTCAGGCGGCTTATTTCATCTTGCAATGCCATCTCGTAAACAGCATGCAGCCTTTCCAATTCCATCTTATCCGTTTCACATTGCCTTATTTCGTACTCTAACCTCTTGTTTCTCAAACTCAATTCTTTTGAGTCTCGTGTCCAAGACAATTTGTTTCGCTGCAAAACTTGAAATGTCAGCCTGCAGGTCTGCTTTCTCAAGCGAGAATTGTTCCTGTGCATCACGCAATGCGCCCTTCAGTTGCATCACCTCAAGATCGCGGCCGAATATGTCAGCATTGGACCTCACAATCCTCTCCTGCAGCTCCGAAACATGCTTTCTCTCAGAGTCAAGTTGAGATTCAAAACCTTGCATTTGATCAGCGCCTTTGGAAATTCTATCGGCAAGTTCATGCTTCAAATTCGCAATCTCTTTGTTCGACCCCTTAGGCCTTTTTTTAGTCACTTCCAAGTCCTCCATCAATTTCCGAATCTCATTATCTTTGTCTGATGCACGATTTTCCAACTCAACTGTCTGTTCTTGCAGCTCGAAGACACGCATTTTCTCCATTGTAAGATCAGACTCCTTTACCTGGAGCTTCTCTTTCAAGCTCAGCAATCTTCTGCTGCCATCCCTGACTGTCGAAATCAGCACTCGGAGGTGGAACCAAGTAATTGCTGACCGGGGAATTAGGAGAATCTGACTCGGATCCCAATGATGAAGAGGAAGATGATTCAGCGCCATTCTTTATAGAAAGAGCTGGACTAGAACCATCAGAGCTTAGTGATATATCAAAACCAACAACTTGATCGTCGGATTTCCGCAAACCATGTTTAGCATCGGGAGTAAGCAGAGGAGAGCCTTGGTTGAAACCATATTCAGAATCTCCAAACCCCTTATGTGCTTTGTTCAAGTGTTGATAGCATCCGGCCAGTGAACGATACATCCGGTGAAATTCCTGAACTAATTCCGGGTTCTTCTGCAAAAACATTTCGTCTTTGTTGGGCAAAGAATCACCATCTTCTTTGATCAGCTTCAGCATTTGCTTCATGCTCTGGTCCATCTCTGTAAGATTCAGCATTTTAAACATTTTATTAGGTCAAATCATCACAGAAGGAATACAGTAACGAACAAATTGTAATCAGCAACAAACAAGATGAGCTCGCAAATAACCACTTACCTTCCAGATATTCTACCAGCGACATTGAACTATCTGGAGTGATACTATTGTCCAACCCGGCTGAATCTGACTTCTTCAGTTCTGTTTTCTCCATATCAGCCATCTGCTGACATCAAATGATATAAAGTAAACCACATAAGACATCAAAATAAAAAGAGAAAAGTAGTGGATTTCTGTAATCCCATATCACTCGGGGCTTTTTGGTGGTTAGGATTTGATTGAACAAGATGAAGCATGGATACCAATAAGGTGATACTATACACACGGCACGATAATACATAAAATCTCGAAAAACTAGGATATGCTGCATCATGGATACGACAATAAAAATACATAATTTAAAACATATTTCAACGTAAAAACATCCAAATTCAAGTTCATTCAAGTGTGAGAGTTATATTCCTCATTTTAATTAGAGACAAACTCTTTGTATTCATCTTCTTTCAACTAAAGCTTTGTTTCCTGTTGATTTTCTCCTCTTAATTTTTTATTTGAAATTGTAACGATATCCTAAAAGACAAATACTTGTATCCGGCGAGTATGGTATCCACTGAAGTATCGAATACGAGATACGCGTGCTCCATCAATGAATGGTAACGTGTAATTCAAGGTACCTGTGAAGATAAAAATGAATGATTTTTCATTTGGAGTATATTATAAGAGATTAGACACGAAGAAAACATATTCTTCGTAATCTACCATTTTGTGGGGATTTGAAGGGATAAGTTTTCTTCACGAGCAATACCCCTATTTTTTACTTTCAGTTTGAACAAAATTTTTAATGTCCTCAGCTATCCAATCCAATCTTAGACACTAAACGAGGGATGAAAGAAGAGGGATTTGGATGGCTCCAGTAACCATACTATCAATTGTGATGCCCATAGAAAAACAGAAGTAATTAAAGGGAAAATTACAAAATCAAATCAAATCAAATACACCACTGAATCAGATCCCAAATAAGACTTTTCTTACCCTATAAATTTCCAGTAGTTCTTATCAATAGAGAAATCCTCAGTTTAAGCATACCAAACCAGATGCTTGAATAAATTAAAACAAAAAGCGATTCTTAAAAATGCATAATCTGTATGCAATCGATTATATCAACATAGAAGAGTGAGCTCCTTGTCACTGACCTTTTGCTGCGACACAGGTGAAGAGACGAGAGAGAGAGAGAGAGCTCCAGATCCAAGCCCTGCCCAAATCAGAAGATAAGTGAAGCGATTAATCGGTGCTTTTGCCTTTTAAGCTAAAAGCGGCTTTTTTCCAAATTCAAAATGGATTCATTCGGTTGGGGACAACGAGGAAAGTGCTGAGAGAGAGGGGGAAGGGCTCCAAATCCCGCGTTTTCTGTCCCAGATTTTTATGCTCCGAACATGCCCTCCCACACACCGTTTCATTTCCATGTCGTGATTTCAGTTTATTTACAAGACTGCCACTCAGATGCTTTTGGCCAAATTTCACTTTATTTACAAAAAATGCCACTTAGGCTTAAGGCCCGATTTTCAGCCGCTGCATCTCAGGTTTGACTCGGGGAGAGGGGAGGGAGGGGAGGGGGACATAACGGCTGACAAATTGGAGAGAGACGATCGCTCCCATTTTTCACTCGGAGACAGCTGGGTGTGGCTATGGCTGTGGCGAGAGGAGAGGAGGGGGACGGAGGGACTGGAGAGGATGGGGACAGAGGGATAGAGCTTCGGCTTCGGCTTGATGAGAGGGAGAGAGAGCCTGCGGCTTTCAGAATCACGATGATAGAAGAAGAAGCTCAGAAGTCTGATACGCCAAGTTGGAGGAACCCTAAAAACCAGAGAATAAGAAAAAGCTCAGAAATCGGGTGAGGATGTTGACAAATCAGCAAGCCCAGTTTCAGGCGACTCTGCAAAACCAACAACCTGACCTCCGACGAACGATGTTAGATGAGAATCGTCAGATTCGAGCCGAACCGAGGCCGTCGTCGACTGAGAAAACATCATCAATCCCGACTTTTGGATCGACTCCCTCTACCTCCTCCCTGTCCGCGACTCCTGCTCCGTCTCTCTTATTGCGAGTTCGCTCGGGTTCTGCTCCCCAGCTATTTCAAGCACAAAAACTTCTCCAGTTTCATTCGTCAGCTCATACATACGTAAGCTCTTCGCCTTTTAATATTTTGATTTAGGCGTATTGATGACTGTAATCAAGGTATCACTTAAGCTCTAATTGTGACTGGTAAATTTTGAATGGCTGCTGGTTACTGTTAAAATCCCAAATGTAGGCAATCCCACATTCCAATTTGTTGTGTGAAGACACACGGACCACAATTGCTTCCTCTCAGCACAATTAGTTTCCACGATTACTCTTAAACCCTAATTATCTCTCCTCTCTCTAAAATCCATTTTTCGATATCTGAATAGGGTAAATGGATATTGTTTATGTGTGCAGGTATTACTCGAAGAAGTTTGAAGGGCCCTAGGACAAGTAGGATTGCATTTCAGAGTAGCAGAAATACAAGGCCACCCTCTCTTTGCGTATCCTATCTTACCCTTTTCCTAAATTTTTATCAAATTATAGGATTTATTTTGCTGATTTTATTTTTTGGGATTTGAGTTTTTATCTTCTGATTATTTTTATTTTTTTAAGTGGTATTACTTTTCCTTTGACTGGAAATTTTAGGGGTTTTAAAGTATAATGTTATCAAATTCTATTTTTCTAATTTTATGATTTTGGGCTTTGCAGGGAGTGCTAATATACTGAATTTTTGGGATTTTTGATCTTTGCATGATTTTTGGTCTTTGAAATGGGTATGTGCTGTTTTTAACGTTTTGGTTCTCAGCTGTTTCGTTCTTTGATTTCTGTTGTCTGCTTCCTTCTAGGTTGCTTCGTGATTTTCATTTTCCATTGTTGGCTTATGGAATTTGTAAAAATGTTTGTAGTTTTGTGACCAAATCCCAATAAGAGTGTGCCGAAACACAGATTATCATGCAGTGAACATACATTGAATTTCAAAAAAATTTAATATATAAGCGAAGGCATATGCAGTGAACAGACATTGAATTTAAAATTGATAGGGTAGTTAAACTTCTGCCTTAGTTATTCTTTCACTCACTTTTGGAATTTAATTCATTGATTTCAAAGTCACTCATGTACTCTGTCTTACTCTATTCACTCATTTATGTTTTGAAATGAGTGTGTTTGTTCTTACTACTGGAAGTGTTTCATGTGGAGATTAATCTTTGAATCTGCTTATTCATGTTTTGGGAATGTTAATCTTTTTAAATTTTTCTTTCCAGGACGAAAATATTTAATAAAATGAATTGTGATTATAAAGTTAATTGAAGCTCTGAAAAATTTCGTGGTAAAAAAGGATGACAGATTATTGTTGTTTTTTTTCCTTCCTATCCAAAAACTACCTTTGATTTTCTTGATTGTGCGTTTATTTAGTATGTGCTATTATAATCGTTCCCAGTATAATAGCAGGACCTACACGAGCAGGACCAAGTAGCCGACCCTCTACAACGAAATCAGCCCGCTCGAAAACCCTAGCTTGAATGTGGTTCCAGAGCTCGACAACCGGGTCTACAATGGCTACAAAGTCCGAGTCACCGAGCTTCAGCACATCATTCACGACATCCGAAAGCAGAAACGCTTCTCCCAAGTCCTCCAAATTTCCATCTTTCTTTCTTACCTTGGAATTTGTGTTATCCCTTGTTTGGTTGCTCATAAAATGAAAGAAAATTGAAAGAAGCATCAAAGTAATTAAATTTTAGTTAAAGAAAGTGAGTGAAAGAGGGAATTAGGATTTTTGTTAATTTATGTGTTTGTTTGTATCATAAGTAATTGGAACTGCGATCTAGTGGCTGGATAGAAGAAAATGACAACTCACTCTCTCTCTCTCTCTTTCTCTCTCTCTCTCTCTCTCTCTCTCTCAGTAGCTCTGTGTTCCTCTCCCTCCAAACCTAATGGCTTAGCCTTTGATCTGATCAAACCCACCTCCAAAACCCTTCCTTGATCACCATCTTCAATAACCCAATTTGGAGGTTACTCGGATCAGGACCTCTTGGAGATTCGGAGCTCCAGGTGGGATAATTTTCCCCAAATTTTCCCCAAATTGTATTCAATTTATGTTGCTTCATTTCATTTTCCATTTTAATTTGGAATTGGTTGATATGTTAGGTGGGTATCGCATGTATAACCAGAACAATTTTTTTGTTTAATTGGGGTCAAATTTTCCAACTTTCTAAGCCATTTGGTCCCGTGTATTTGTAATCTGAATAATATGAATTAGGGTTTTTCTATTAGTGTCCAATTAGTGAAGAAAGGATGCTTCTTTTTGTTATCATGCATATTTAAGCTGTAAACATCTGAAAAGCTGCTTAATTGAAGTGAGATTTCCAGTTTTTGAGCTCAATTTCATTTCTTGTAGACAAAATTTTTCAAGATTTCTGGGTTTCTTTTTGCTTCTTCTCTGTTAAATTACTCATCTGGAAGTTAATTTTGTTCAAATACCAAGTATTGTTCTTGAATTAAAGATTTCTGGGTTTTTTTGTTGCTTCTATTCTATTAAATTACTCATCTAGAAGTTAATTTTGTTCAAAAACTTACTGTTCTTCAATTAATTTTACAAGAAAGCATATGAGAACGTGGTACATTAGGTGTTTGATGAAATGTGTCAGAGAATCTGTCAGTATGATATATTATAATTCTGAATCTCCTCTTCAGCTCTGGCCACATGTGTGCGAATGCGACATGGTCCTGGTCGAGGGTTCGAAAGCTCTGGCGATTCTGACTGAGAAAGAGGTCAATAACAAGAAGGTAATGGAATTCAATGTTTTGTGTTTGTTATAGAGGCATATTTGCAACAGTATATCAGATAATAATTCTAGATAGTCTATCCAGATAGCTTAGATTGTGTTTCATGATGCATATGGCTGAAGCGGTTTTGGCTACTTGTTGGATTGCTCATTAATTTTTTAGCTGCCCTTGGCTGGTACAAATATATATATATAAGAAGTTTATCCTTATCAACTTTTACTCAGGTCAAATTTAGGATCCATTTGTACTCATGCGCCATTGGGGTAAAAGTGCGTGTGCTTTTTTTTCTGTTGTATTTTTTCATCTAGGGGATAACGTTTTGTTTTTTGTTGGAAGGAATATTAAACACATCCACACCCTATTTTGTCAAATTGTTCTAAAGTATCTCATGCTAGTTTTAGAATTCTCCCAACTTTCTAACTTAAATATGTGCCAAGAGAACCCAACTAAAGTGGTTCGCTGCTCCATGTATGAAGTATTAGTGAATTATTTGTAATTTTACGAAACGAAACGAAATTTTTTGTGTTGTAAGCATCCATATTGAAATATATGTTATAATTGTTTTGATAAGAAACAGATGTAAATTAGAATCATACTAATATAGGTATGTTGTGTGCATAACTTCGATGGTACCATAAGTTCAGAATTAATCTTTAGTGTCATTAAAAAAAATACGTAAATTTATATACATAAATTTGATAGCACCATAAATTTGGGGTACTATTATATTTAGTACAGGCAATATGATGTCGTTCAGGTGTTTTTAACTAATATCTGCAGTTTTTCAATTCATCTAGGGTATTTGTGATTTGAACGACACTAAAAATTTTATGGGTTATAGGAACCGCGGGTTAAGAAAATGGGTCAAATTCAGGTCGAAGCTGTAAGATCATTTACATATTACAGAATGAATGACAAGATCTTTGGGGCTGAAAATTGGAGTAACTTCGTTCCTTTTGTTAAAAAGATGAGCACAAATTGGTGAAGCAGCCAAGAAACCTAACTTAAGTAGAAGTTTAGAAGTTTGTCACTTCCTGATATATTGACTGAAATAACAATAAGAAAATAATGTAGTTTTTGAACATCGAAAACAACAATAAGAAAATGGATCCGAAAATATAGAGAACATAGAACTAAGAATTCACTCCTCCAGAGTCCTTCAAATACTTAGTCTTGATTTTATAGAGTGCGACTGCGGCATCTTTCATGTTAATCCTTTCTTTCGGCAATGCTGCAGTGCAAGCTAAGGCTAATCTCATAACGGATGATAAGCAAACCCTCATGCTCACGAAACCACCATCTTCCTCCGTCCCAGGTATATCGGCATCCACAACTTCATCTATAGCAGCATTTAGAAATAATGAATCTGCAATCCATTGCTTTAAATTCATTTCCCCAACAAACATCTCATCCGTTGGCTTCCTTTTTGTGAATGTCTCCATGAGTACAATACCAAAACTATACACATCCCCACTCGTCGAAACGCTTCCTTCCATCCCGAACTCTGCAAAATTTGTATGTGAATTTAGTTATGTATGATAAAAAGAAAATTATAACTCCTAATAAAACCAACATAAACAAAATTGAAAAAATACATCACCTGGAGCCATGTATCCAACTGTGGCTAGGGTCATTGTTTCCGTCATCGAATCTCCACTGCCGATGAGTCTTGCAATGCCAAAATCAGCAACATGTGCAACCATATCATCATCCAATAGTATATTGCTTGGTTTCACGTCACAATGAACGATAGGTATCGAGTAACCTTGATGAAGATATTCTAGTGCCAATGCAACATCTTTCATTATGTCCAACCTCTGCAGGATAGTCATGGAACGGTTTGGAGAATACAACCACTGTTCGAGGCTTCCATTAGGCATCAATTGAAGCACCAGGGCTTTGAAATCAAGTTCATCGCAATAACTTATGATTTTAATGAGATTCCGATGACGGATATTGCTTAGCATTTCACATTCCTTCGCAAAACTCTTGAATGCCTCTTCTAGCTGTAAATTGAAAACCTTGAGGGCAATATCTATCCCGTCTGACAGTGTTCCTCTGTATACTGAGCCAAACCCCCCTGTGCCTAGTAAGTTACTCTCGTGAAGTCCATTTGTCGCCCTTACAAGTTCTAGGCGCGAAACTCTTCTCCAAAGAACTTGAGGTAGCAAGGCAGTTTCTCTTACAACTTCAACATTCCTTTTCCTGCATAGCACCACAATCAATGCAGCAGCCGCTAGGAGTATTACTGACATGACCCCTGGGATGATATATTTAGCTTTCCTCCAATTTGGCTCAACTTTTGTTCTATATTTGCATAATGGAAAATGGAGTCGGGAAGTACCGCAGAGTGCACCGTTTGATACAAATGAATCATCAGAGAAGTTTCCGAAAGGCCCGCCGGTTGGAATTTCTCCTTGGAGTTTGTTGAAAGACAAATTCAGATGCTTGAGATACAAGAGGGCTTCCAATGACTTTGGGATCACTCCAGATAGATTGTTTTTGGACAAATCCAAGAATTCTAGGCTTAGCAAGGTTTTAAATGAACCGGGAATAGGGCCTTCTAAATAATTGTTTGCCAAGGACAATTTAATCATTTTCTGAAGACCCCCAATGCTACCGGGAATGTTTCCGGAGAAATGGTTATTTGATAAATCCATTACCACCACATCTTTCAACTTTCCGATGTCTTCTGAGAGTGGTCCAACTAGAGAATTGGATGACAAGTTTAGCTCCAATATATACTTGAGTTCCCACAAGGAAGATGGTATTTTTGAAGTTAACAAATTGGACCCTAACCGTAGATATCTTAGAGCTACTGCCAAAGTACCCAAGCAGGAAGGAATAGAACCAGAGAGCCGATTACCATGCAAAACTAAACCGGCTAGGTTGTTTAGTTGACAGAGTTCATACGGGATATGTCCTTGCAGTTCGTTATCATACAAACCCAAAACTTGGAGATTTTGTAGCCTTTGTATTGAAGTTGGAATTGCTCCACTCAACTGATTGTTTCCCAGGTCTAGTAATATCAAGCTGCTCAAGTTGCCAATTTCTACTGGAATGTTGCCCCTGATGTTGGAACGGAATAAATACACATATAGGAGTGACGTAGAGAGATTCCTGAGGGAAGCTGGAATCGTGGTGTTTAGTGGATTGTCTCCCAAGTCTAACTTTGTCAAATTTCTAAGATTAAACAAGCAAGAGAGAGTACTTGCTGCTTGTGGAGTAGAAGCATCAATTGTCAAATTATTCGAGCGCAAGGAAAGAAGCTCAAGGTTTTTCAAGGAACAGAGCGTGCTAGGAAGAAACCCGGTAAATGAGTTTTCGCTCATGTCTAGCATCCTGAGCTTGGAAGCATTGGAGAGGTTAGGGAGTAGTCCAGCCACGACGTTAGTTCTGGCTACATAAAGGAATTCTAGGTTTGGAGCGTTAAGACCGATGTTTGCTGGGAGGCTACCTGAGAGCTGATTGAAAGAAAGCTCTATTCTTCTTATCGTAGAGAGATTGAAGAGTTTGGATGGGATGACGCCACTAAGATTATTAAATAACAGTTCCAAAAACTCTAACTGCGGAAGATCACCAATCTCATCCGGTATTGTACCTTTAACAATTTCAGAACGCTTGTATTAACTTTGTAACTTCAGTTTAACTAAAAACTAAAAACAAATTGATTATGAAATGCCCCCAAATTTATTACCTGTTAAATGATTCTCACCAAGAATAATCTTGGTTAAGTAGGTCAAATTGCCAAGACTTTTGGGTATGCTTCCACGGAAATTGTTAGAGTATAATAAGATTTCACGAAGCTCTTTGCATTGCCATAGTTTGGAGGGAATCAGACCGTCAAGCTGGTTTCCACTAAAATTAAATATTCGAATACTGGAAAGATGCTCACATATATTGTTCGGAAGACTGCCACTCATGTTGTTTCCGTATAGATTTAAAATAGTCAAAGAAGATATGTTGAAGACAGGCACAAGAGCAGAGGCTGTTAGGGCATTGGACTGCACAAACAACTCCTCCAGCTGAACTAAACTGCCCATCTCGTTCGGAAGTTCTATAAATCAATCCGTATATATTGTTAAAATCATGTAAACATATATAGGAGTAGCTTCTTACTGGGAATCCCGTTCTACCGTAGCAAAAGTGGGATAACATTATAAGGACCATGTGCTCACTATATAGGTTCTCTTTTTGCTCTAGAATACGAGGGTCTTACACAGTAAATATACGATTTTTATGATAGTCCTCTCATTTCATTTTTGCTAAAGTGGAACGAGATTCCTACTAAGAAGGGGCTCGTATCTAAACTACCTAGTACCTATTTATAGAACTCTGCTCTCAAACAAAACTACATAAAATTGCAATTTTAACCCTCACACCAAAACTACACACAAAAAAAATATATGGGCAATTTAGTAATTACATGAACATAAATTTTGCTATTATTTACAACAACCTCACAACCAGATCAACATAGCATGCCCTATTTAAAAATTAAAAATAAAATAAAATAGTAAATAAAAAACATGCCTACTTTAGAAGAAACTGCTCATCATTGTCTCAATTTTTATAATTGATTTCTTTTTTTTTTGGAATTTTGAAAACTAATCACACTTCATAGTAAACCAAAAAACAAAAAAAAAATGAAATTATTCACACACAGTGTGTGAAGGCATCTGCTAGTATACATTTAACAAAACCTAAGTCATACAGTATACCTTCGAACTTGTTGTCGTCAAGGTATATGCCCTTCACCATTGTTAGGTTGCCTATTTCTCTGGGTATGCTACCTGTTAAATATGTGCATGCATTCCAACAAAAAAGAAGGAAAAAAAAAAAACAAACGAGATGATTGTTATACATCTTATATATAGATGTTAAAATGAAACAAATATATCAAAATGTAATGATGAAGCAAGCAATCATTAATTTATAAGGAAAACTAATAAAAAAACTTGAAAACTTTAAGTTTTAACGATAAGGACAAAATAAATGGTAAAGTGAATAGTACATGTTTGACTTTTTAGTGTAAAAATGTGGTTTTTCGTTAAAGTGAACAGTATCGTGGGCTTTTCGTTAAAACACCCTAATTTATATTCCTAGGTGGTTGGTACTGGTGGTATGTACGTACCCGATAGTTGGTTCCTGCCTAGATTAATTGTTTCGAGTGCAGATAAGTTGAAGATAGCAGCCGGTATGAAACCCGAGAAGCCATTACCGTACAATTTGATGGTTTGAAGTTTAGCAAAGGACCCAAACCACGAAGGAATGGTTCCCATAAAGCCATTGTTTCCAAGGTTAATCACCTTCAACCGGCGCAAACGAGACAGTTCTTGCGGTAGGGGACCATGAAAGCTATTATTCTCAAGGCCCAACTCAACGAGAAATGAGAGGTTGCCTAGATGTGGAGGAATAACTCCGGCAAGACCCATGTGCGAAAGATTTAAGGCCGTGACTCTGTGGTGGCCAGCACCGCAGCTAACGCCAACCCAGTTGCAAATGTTGGAATTGGAGGCAGAGGACCAGTTGGTGGTCAAGATGTTTTGAGGGTCACTAGTGATGTGAGCTTTGAGAGAAAGAAGCGCAGACTGATCTGTGCTGATATTGGTATGAGATATTGCTAATACACCTGCAGTTAAGCAATTAGCCATAATCATCATATGGATATAACACAAGCAGTGTATCATCGACAACATTTTTGATAGTAGGAAACGACTTCTCTCCTTAATTGTAGTAGTTTTCGTCTTTCGGTTTGAATTCGATCAAAAACTAGAACTCATTACATTCACATAAATAGGGAAACAAGTTGGTGTTACCAAGATTTGGATTTTTTTACATATCAAACACACACCTTTCATTTTTCATTGATAGCTTAGCTATGTGAGGAGGAATAGTCCAAGTCCCATTTTTTTGTCGAAGTGAGGAGGCTTAGACTAGTACTATCTATAGACCATAGAAAAAGAACCAAATTAAATTATTATCCCATTTTTTGCAAATTGCAATCCTCGACTTGTTATTTGGATTTTTTTACATAACAAACATAGACCTTTCATTTTTCGCTGATAGCTTAGCTAGGTGAGGACGAATAGTCTAAGTCCGATTTTTTTGTCGAAGTGGGGAGGCTTAGACTAGTACCATCTATAGACCATAGAAAAAGAACCAAATTAAATTATTATCCCATTTTTTGCAAATTGCAATCCTCGACTTGTTGTTTGGATTTTTTTACATAACAAACACAGATCTTTCATTTTTCGCTGATAGCTTAGCTAGGTGAGGACGAATAGTCTAAGTCCGATTTTTTTGTCGAAGTGAGGAGGCTTAGACTAGTACTATCTAATATCTATAGACCATAGAAAAAGAACCAAATTAAATTATTATCCCACTTGTTGCAAATTGCAATCCTTGACTTGTAGTGGATGTAGTCATGGAGGCATCCTATTGGTATTTCCTTCGTCGCCCTCTTCCATTTAGCTTCTGCTAATAATTACCATTGGTAATGGCAATTTAGAAATCATTGGTTTCTAATAATATCATAGCTTATTAGATTATAGCGGCCGCAATGAATGAGGGTTACTTCACCTCACTGAATTAGGATTTAGTCAAAACCCCCAGTTCACTGGCGGAGAATAGGTAGGTTGACCATTTTGCACTCCAAACAAGTGAGAACACTGAGAACACCTTAATTAATAATAATTAGCAAACCTTTTCCATGCCATTTTTGTTCTTTAACATTCAAAATCTAGAGCATTTAGTTTCGTAATTAACTAAATATTGATGTAACATCCGACCTCAATTGACCATATGACCCTAAACAAAAACTTGTTCCATACAAATAACACAACATATGATGCAAGAGACAATCAAGTGAGCCTCAGAAACATACTAGGCGCTGCCTGTGCCCGGTAAACGCTTGGCGGAGCTCTTGGTATCCGCTCCTGTAGTGCTCCAGCGAGAAACAAAGCTGCCGGATCACCTCTCTTTTCTCCTCAGCCCCATCCGAGATCACAACACTCTGCCTTTTCACCTCTTGCTGCAACTCCCCCACTCTTGTTTTCAGCTCATCTACTAGCCTACGCGCACTTTCGGATCCAACGATCAGACCCTCGCGTTCTGTTTGCAACCGACTAAGATGTCCCGCCATTTCCTGAATCTGATTGTCGCGGGAACTCACATTCGCCATGAGCGTTTGAGCCCTACCATTGAGCTCGTTTTTCTCCGCCATCAGCATGTCATATTTCAGTTTAAACATGTCCAAGTCTTCATTTACAGCTTCCACATGTCCATTTTTATCAGCAACTTCTACCTTCAGGCGGCTTATATCATCTTGCAATGCCATCTCGTAGACAGCATGCAGCCTTTCCATTTCCATCTTATCCGTTTCACATTGCCTTATCTCGTCCTCTAACCTCTTGTTTCTCAAACTCAATTCTTCGAGTCTCGTGTCCAAGACAATTCGTTTCGCTGCAAAACTTGAAATGTCAGCTTGCAGGTCGGCTTTCTCAAGCGAGAATTGTTCCTGTGCATCATGCAATGCGCTCTTCAGTTGCATTACCTCAAGTTCGCAGCCGAATATGTCAGCATTGCACCTCACAATCCTCTCCGGCAGCTCCGAAACATGCTTTCTCTCCGAGTCAAGTTGAGATTCAACACCTTGCATTTGATCAGCGCCTTTGGAAATTCTATCGTCCAGTTCATGCTTCAAATTCGCAATCTCTTCGTCCGACCCCTTAAGCCTTTCTTTAGTCACTTCCAAGTCCTCCATCAATTTCCGAATCTCATTATCTCTGTCTGATGCACGATTTTCCAACTCAACTATCTGTTCTTGCAGCTCGAAGACACGCATTTTCTCCATTGTAAGATCAGACTCCTTCACCTGGAGCTTCTCTTTCAAGCTAGATAGTTCAGTTTCAAGCTTAGCAATCTTCTGCTGCCATCCCTGACTGTTGAAATCAGCGCTCGGAGGTGGAACCGAGTAATTGCTGACCGGGGAATTAGGAGAATCTGACTCGGATCCCAATGATGAAGAGGAAGACGATTCAGCGCTATTCTTTAAAGAAAGAGCTGGACTAGAACCATCTGAGCTTAGTGATATATCAAAACCAACAACTTGATCGTCGGATTTCCGCAAACCATGTTTAGCATCGGGAGTCAGCAGAGGAGAGCCTTGGTTGAAACCATATTCACTAAGGAGGAGAAATCCTCAGTTTAAGTTTTAAGTTTAAGTTTAAGTTTAAGCTTGGATTTCCACTTGAGCCCAAGGTTTAAGTTTTAACCCAAACACTTACTCTATAAATATCCAGTAGTTCTTATCAATAGAGAAATCCTCAGTTTAAGCATACCAAACCAGATGCTTGAATAAATTAAAACAAAAAGCGATTCTTAAAAATGCATAATCCGTATGCAATCGATTATATCAACATAGAAGAGTGAGCTCCTTGTCACTGACCTTTTGCTGCGACACAGGTGAAGAGACGAGAGAGAGAGAGAGAGCTCCAGATCCAAGCCCTGCCCAAATCAGAAGTTAAGTGAAGCGATTAATCGGTGCTTTTGCCTTTTAAGCTAAAAGCGGCTTTTTTTCCAAATTCAAAATGGATTCATTCGGTTGGGGACAACGGGGAAACTGCTGAGAGAGCGGGGGGAAGGGCTCAAAATCCCACGTTTTCTGTCCCATATTTTTATGCTCCGAAAATGCCCTCTCACACACCGTTTCATTTCCATGTCGTGATTTCTGGTAATGGGTATTTTCGTAACTTAACGAACTACTCCAATAATTAAGCCCTCAGAGGTGGGGCCGTAACGCATGGTGGGCAAGCGGCTTGCCGTCCCTGCCAGCGGAACAACCAAAGATTTATGGCGGGAAAACATTCCAATTTAAGAAAATAATTTAATAAAAAAAATTCTGGTTTTATTTTAGTGAGTTTTAACGAAAAGTCCACGGTACTGTTCACTTTAACGAAAAACCACATTTTTACACTAAAAAGTCAAATCTGGTACTATTCACCTTACCCTTTATTTTGTCCTTATCGTTAAAACTCAAAGTTTTCAAGCCATTTTTATTAGTTTTCCTTTTATTTTAGGGAGTTTTAACGAAAAGCCCGCGGTACTGTTCACTTTAACGAAAAACCACATTTTTACATTAAAAAGTCAAACCTGATACTATTCACTTTACCCTTTATTTTGTCCTTATAGTTAAAACTCAAAGTTTTCAAACCCTTTTTATTAGTTTTTCTTTTATTTTAATGCTAAAAAGACACTTAAAAATGAGAAAATTAGAATTAGATGCCTCAGTTTAGACTTTTGTAGACTAAATATTTATGCTTTTTGAGTTTTTGATTAAGCTTTTGAAACATTTGATTAAGATACTCAGACTTGAACTACTTCGGATTAATTGAAATTAATTTACATTTAAATATCTACTATATTTTAAATAATTTCAACTATATTTAAGTCTAAAAATGTAAAATTTTCAAATCTAAATGTACACCCACACCAAATGGAAATGTACCAACATTAAATGAAAATGTACCAACATCAAACGAAAACGTACCAACCCTCTAAATTAAAACGTACCCAATTATAAACAATATAAAAATGAATATTCATCTTTTTGGAATGTTTAAAAATATGTTTGATTCATACGCAATGCTCTAGATAGTCTTCTTTTTTGGTAGATTAGTCTCTGGAACAACTTTTAGTTGATCGGAGATAAATCCTTATTATTGTAGATAATGCTATATCATAACGATAAATCATATAATTTTGAATTAACAAAAAGGCTATTGTCAATTGATTAATGACTCTTTCTATAAAAAAAATGAGTTAATATAAGTAATTTAAACTTTTACATTGTTAACGACTCTTTCTATATATAAAAAAAAATTAATTAAAGTAATTCCTCATTATTAGGATAAAAAGTAATAAAACTTATGTTTTGAAAACAAACGTACCAAAAATTCAAATGTACCAAAAACTAAATGTACCAAAAATTCAAATGTACCAAGAAGCCAAATGGACCAAAAATTCAAATGTACCAAGTAACTAAATGTATCATTATAATCAAACGTACCGATGTTACCAAACATACCTAACAACGAGTTTTGTTACATTTTATTTAATTTACTAAAATAAATATTTTAATAAAAATAAAAAAATCTTAAATCATCATAATAAGATATGCATAAAAATAGGAGGAAAAAAGGGAATGCTAACGTGAATAGACTTTTAATGAAATAAAATTAAAGTACCAAAATTGTAGGGAAAATGTTTAATCAAATTTGTAAAAGGAATAGATGTTTAGTCTATGACATTTAGAAACGAGACGTCTATATCAAAACCTCCCCTTAAAAAATGACTTTCTACGAACTCTCTGCTACCTTATTAACACGAAAATTCATGTTTAATTGTTGAAAGACAGAAAGTTCATAAAGAATTCTACTATAAGAAACTCGCCTTAGCATTTCTCTTTATTTTATTTCTATTTACATTGACACTACGACACGAAGATCGGAAGTATAAAAAATTATACTAATATATCACCAAGCAACTTTAATTTTATCAACAAAATAATTAGAGTTGAATTTGACAATTTGTAGTACATCGAAATTGTTAAATATTTTTGGTATTTTTATCTAATTTAAAAGTCCAAATCTATATATTTATCTTTTTTTTTATTTTTCCATTATTTTCATAATAATCATTGATCAAGGTGGGAAGCCACACAAACTAAGCAAAATTATTTCTTTTGGAACTTTATCATAGTCTTATTCAAAACATATGACCCCATATTTTATCTAATTTCATAATTTTAGTCTTTTTCTTGTTAGACTTGTCTATCTCTATCATTTTGTTTTGATTGACTTTTAAATAGATAATTTGTTATCTTTCAAATTTTATCTTTTACCAACCTTTTTAAAATTTGCACTCAATGTTTATATTTGAAGCTCAATTCTTATTAATCTGCATACGTGGTCGTAGTCACATTTGCTAAAATAGATGTAATTTCTTTTACGCACCGGAGTTTGAATTTCGCTACTCTCATTTTAGAATATTTTAAACTGCATTTATAATTATATATGTGGCATTTAAATAAACTAATTTTTAACTCATAAAAAAA